TATTTTTTACAAAATTGGTATTGTGATACATAATTGATAGTGGCATTACATATACTGTAAAAACATGAATTCAATAAGTATAAAATATCAATATGGGTATACTGTAATCACCTTTGGCTGTTTCTAATTTTTCTCACAATTGACTCCTTGGCAACTTTTTTTTAAAATGGTTAATGCTGTAATAACTATCTTATGCATAAGGCTTTGTCCACATGTATTTCCTTAGAGTACTCCTGTAAGTAGTATAAGTACTACTTAAGTATCTTTAAAGAGTATGAACATATTGAGAACTTTCGAGACATGTCCCACTAGTTATATGTATCTGTTTGATAGCATCTTTTCTTAAATTGAGTGTCATATTTTAAAAGATCTTTTTGATAGAAATTATATATCATTTTAATTTGTGTTTTTAAAGATTTTTGATGAGTCATTTTCTTATCTTCCATTGATTGGGGGCATATTTGTGTGTGAATTGTCTGCATTTCCTTTGGCTGTTTTTCTTCTAGAGTATCAAGGATTTATTGCTGGAATGAAACACATTATTCCTCTAGCCTCCTAGTGAAACAATTCTCAGCTCTGCAGTTTAGAGCCTGTCTGTCTAATTTATTTCCAATTTTTAATATTGTTTTCATGAATATAAATAACCCTTTGCCCAAAGTATTAACATTTCCAGATACTACCCATTAGTCAAAATACGTTACAAAGAAAAGGAGCTGTAAGCATGCTTGTGCCAAGGGAGCTTATTGTAGGTAACTCTTAATGATACTGACATAATAAAACAGCACGTATGCACACACACACACACACTCATGCACACGCACAAATAAATGCATATCCTGTGCACAAAGATGCATATCCCAGAGTCATTAAAGAACTAAGGCCGTTTTTGACTTGGGGGATTGGTCATGCTCGGATTACTGAGTATTAACATCAGACTTGAAAATCACAAATATTTCCTCCTCCCTTCCACCACCATACAAAAATATAAATATTTTCCTTCACCCCACCATTAACTTTCGTACTCAAGTAGTTTCTTTGCATAAAGTGGATGGAGCCTCATGAGAGGCCATTCATTTGAGAGTACGAAATCAAAGATGAGATTATGGGGAGAATCTTTGGGTTCTTTCCTTCCATTTCCCATAATGTGATATGATGGCAGAGAGAAAGCGAGAGGGAGGGGATGCCAAGAGTGTACTTGTGGGAAAAAAATGTTTATGTTCAAAGTGTAATTTTAAGGGATTGTGGTCAGAGATGCTGTTGCTAAGAAGATACTTTTATATACAGTATTTGCTGTCAGCACAGTGTGCTTTGTTGACTCTTACCATGCAGTTTAAAAGGACTCAGTTTCTGGCCCTAAACTAAATCTGATTTAAAATTTAATTCCAAACTTTTAAATTTATGACATCCTCTTAGTGTTGTATGGTGGTGTAGTGCCTAAGGCATATTTGACTGCTAACCAGAAGGCTGGCAGTTAAAACCCACCAGCCGCTCCTCAGAAGGAAGGTTGGGCAATCTACTTCTGTAGAGATACTGCCTCGGAAACCCAAGGAGAGGTCACAGTGAGTCGGAATCGACTCGATGGCAGTGAGTTTGGTTCGGTTATTAGTACTGAAATTTGTAGCATCAATATTTTCTTTCAAATTTTAAGATATGTATACTTTTACTTAAATATATTGCATAATTCTTAAAATAATCTTAGAGAGGGATATGTGCTTATCTGAACACCGTATTATTTCTACCTTTATTTGGAAAGATCAAAGTTACATATATTTTGTAAATCAATATATATTAAATGTATATCAGGGCACAATCAAGCCCTAGGCATGAGATTTATAAAGGATGGATGTCAGAGTCTGATCACACCAGGTATTTTCATAAAGATTACCTCAGGATTCATAAGAGTTCTAAAGGTAAGTTTCAAAAGGCATACCTCACCATACATAATAGCAAAGGAAAGTAACACATGGTAGAAAGAGGATGATGAAGGTAGTTCTTTACAAAGAATTCCAGATATTAATATGCTCACATAATTACTTCTCTTGTCATGATCTCATCTATATTATTCCAACATTTAGGAATTTAACCAATGTTAATGTTTAGCTTTCTAAATAAATTTCTTCCTGAAGTCATTTCTTTTTTCTCTATTGTAAACATGAGGCAACATCAGTATCAATTCTGGATGTAATTTAGAATAGTAACATTTCTTTCTGTGAAAAGATTTTTAGGATTGGGTTCATTATTAACCATATTTGTATCTCCAGGGTTGTTAGACATTTCTGTAACTTCTGTTCACTTTATTATTGACATTGTTTTCTGTTTATTACAAGGCAGTACTCTTCTCATAATTTTGGGACAGATTCATATTCTTAGACTCTTGTTTCTCTTCCCTCCAATTTCAAAACTATTAATTGAAAACTATTTCTATGGAAGTTTGCCGTTAGGAGCAGTTATTCACAGTCGAGGAAATTCACAGCTGTGGAGAAAAAGTTCTTTCACAGTGTGTTGGTAAATAGGCTTTTGTGAGAATCCTCCATTGGCCTATTTTTCCTGATTAAAGAATAAGAATCTATTGTTTTTCTTGGTGCTAATGGAACCAAACCACCTGCAGTTGAATATTTAACATGTTGGAAAGCTAAACTCAATTAACATCTATTTTTTCAGAGATGACATTTGGTTGAAATTAGAGGTTTTGACATAATGAAAGCTTCTGATTAAAGCATGCAATTCCAGTAAACTGATTGGCAGCATTCCCTAAACAGTATAGCCTTGCTCAGTCTGTTGATAGAAACAAGTACTGAACTGGCAAATGTAAAGCCTGTTGCTGTGCCCTCCAGTTTCTGCTAACGCCCCTTTACTGTTTAACTTGGTATTTATTATCAATACCTTCTTCACAGAAAGCTCTGGTTTGCAGTGGTTAAAGGATATGCACTCTAACCAAAAGCTCGGTGGTGGTTCAGGAGAAAGGCACAGTCTGCTTCCATAAAGATTTACAGCCTTGGAAACCCAACAGGGGGGCAGTTCTGCTCTGTCCTATAGAGTCGCTATGAGTTGGAATCGACTAAGTGCCACTGGGCTGTTGGGTTTTTTTTTTTTTTTAATTTTATTAAAAATCCGAAGATTTGGGTAAAATGATCCCTTGCTATAGGAAATCACTAATTGTATCAACTGTATGGGGAGCAGGGAAGAGGGTACAGAACAGGGATTAAAAGCACACATTCTGAAAGTGAACTGCCTGGGTTCAAATCTTGGCTCTGTCATATGCTGTGTGGCCTTGAGTGACTTATTTAACCTTTATTTCCCCATTTGTCAAAGGAGGAGAATAAATAGTACTTTACTCACCTCATAGGATTAAGGATTGTTGTTTGTTGGGTGCCATCGAATTTGCTGACTTACAGTGACAACAGATGAAACACGGCCTGGTCCTATGCCAGCCGGATAATCATTGCTATACCTGAGCCCACTGTTGAGGGTTTCAGGGCTATTCATCAAGTTTTCCAGCAACATATCGGTGTTTCACTGCTATTCATAGGGTTTTCACTGGCCAATACTTTGAGAAATGGATGGCCCTTTCGAAACTTCTTCTGAGTCTTAAGTATGGAAGTTCCACTGAAACCTGTCCACCATGACTGACCCTGCTGGTATTGGAAATACTGGTGGAATAGCCTCCAGCCTCACAGCAAAACACAAGCCACCACAGTGCAACAAACTGACAGACAAGTGGTGGGGATTAAGAATTAGCTGACATCTATATAAAGTTCCTTAAACAACTGGTATTTAAAAATATACAAACCTAAACCCATTGCCATTGAGTCAATTCTGATCCATAGCAACTCTATCCAAACAAAAAACCAAACTCACTGCCATTGAGTCGGATCCAACTCATAGCAACCCCTCCTTGGGCTTCTGAGGTGGTATCTCTCCTTCCATGGAGTGGCTGACAGGTTTGAACCACCAGCTCTCTGGTTAGCAACTCTATAGGACAGAGTAGAACTGCCCCTCTGGGTTTCCAAGGCTGAAAATCTTTATGGAAGCAGACTTCTTTATGGAAGCTCCTGTGGAGAAGCTGGTGGGTTCAAACCTCCAACCTATCTGCTAGCAGCTGAGTGCTTTAACCACTGCACCACCAGAGCTTCTTAACAACTGGCATAAGTGCTATTAAATGCTAGTCTTCACAGATCAACCTTGCAAAACAAGTCATATGCTTAACCTTCTCTAAATAGCTTCACAATTTTGTTTAAAAAAGAAAACTACTTGCAATTCTCTCTTCTTGGAATTTTCCCCCATCTCTGCATGATTCACTCCCTCAGGTAGCTGCTCACACATTCAGAGGCCTTCACTAAAATAGCACACCCCAACACACCTATTACTCTTCATTTCCTTGCTTCACTTTTTACAGTGCCATCACCACTGGCATATTGGTTGGTGCCTTTCTCTCCCAAATGTAAACTCCTGAGTGAAGGAGCTTTATTTAGATTATTTCTGCAGTCCCCAGCACCTATGCATTTCACATTGGAAGAGCCTGATAAGTATTTTCTGGAAAGATGGACAGATGCTGGACTAAAAAGCAAAATCTCTTTTTTTCTGAGGACTATGAGGACATTAATTTGCTATGCATTGTTTTTTAATGGCATGTACTTAACATTTCCATACTCCTATGTTTTCATTTAAGCCAGGTATTCTGAAAATTAGGCCAGCACTCATTTGAAAAAGATACGCTTTACAAAGAAACTTACAAGACTACATTCTAATGTAAAGTATAAGGAAGCAAAACAAAAATGTTGACATTGTTTTCAAAGATTCTAAGTAAATCTATGTAGTAAATTTTAGAACAGCCAGATTTTTCAAACATTATTTTAGCATAATGTATCTACCTACAGAGATCTCTGGTTTCAGATTAGACCATGAATGGGTGGGTAATGTTATGACTGAAGTGTGTATGTATGTTTGTATATGGGTAAGTGGTTGAAATCAGTTTTTCTCCTCCTTCCCCTCTTTTGCAGGTTAATGACTCCAGAGAGTGAAATCAGATTTGTCCATAAGGAGATGGGTATAATACCAAGCTGGGGTGGCACTACCCGGCTGGTTGAAATAATCGGCAGTAGACAAACTCTCAAAGTATTAACGGGGGCCCTCAAACTGGATTCCCAAAAAGCTTTAAACATAGGAATGGTCGACGACATCTTGAAGTCTTCAGATGAAACTCAGTGTCTACAAGAGGCACAAGAATGGCTACAGCAGTTTATCAGCGGGCCACCAGAAGTAATTAAAACTTTGAAAAAGTCTGTTGCTTCAGTCAAAGAGCTATGTTTAGAGGAGGCATTACAGACTGAAAGAGATCTTTTAGGAACAGTGTGGGGTGGACCTGCAAATTTAGAGGCGATTACTAGGAAAGGAAAATTTAATAAATAGTTTTAAAAAATATGTATAAAAGTTAAATACCAGAATTACTTTGAAAGCTGCCACTAGTACTCAAATTTGTTTCAAATTATGTTTTTAATAACTGAACTCTGGCTTAGTTTTCAGTCTTTTTGTGTACTTACCAAGTAATTTGGAACATACTAAAATATACAACACTTAGGTTAAAAAATTGTGGCTGTCAGTTCTAACATACTTCTAGTGATTCTTAGCCTGTATCCAAAAATCATTTTTAAAAAGGAGTAATCTGTATACAAAATCAATATTTCCAGGGTTATTTTCCAAAAAGTCTTTGCCCTGTCTTACTTACAAAAATAAATGTGAGTGAACTTGCAGTTAAAAACAATTAATGCAACACTTCCTTGCTTATCATGAGTTATTAAAAAGTGCCAAATAAAAGTGGATTTTGTGGTTCACAACATTTTGTGTAAAGAGAATTTGTATCCACTAATGGGGAGCTCTGGTAGCATAGTGGCTAAAGCATTTGACTGCTAACCAGAAGGCTGGCGGTTCAAACCCACCAGCCACTCCTCGGAAGGAAGGTTGGGCAATCCTACTTCCATAGTGATACTGCCTCGGAAACCCAAGGAGGGGTCGCTGTGAGTCGGGGCCGACTTGACGGCACACAATAACAACAACGGGGAGCTCTGGTAGCATAGTGGCTAAGACACTTGCCTGCTAACCAGATGGCTGGCGGTTCAAACCCACCAGCCACTCCTCAGAAGGAAGGTTGGGCAATCCTACTTCCATAGTGATACTGCCTTGGAAACCCAAGGGGAGGGGTCCTTATGAGTCGGGTTGACTCGACGGCACATAACAACAACAACAACAATGGTGTTTTGGGAGCTCTGGTAGCGTATGCCTAAGGCACCTGACTGCTAACCAGAAGGCTGGCAGTTCAAACCCACCAGCCACTCCTTGGAAGGAAGATGGGGCAATCTACTTCTGTAGTGATGCTGCCTCAGAAACCCAAGGAGGGGTCGCTATGAGTCGGGTACCGCTCGATGGCACATAACAACAACAACAATGGTGTTTTATATGTCTACCATTTATAGTATTAGGACCACTAAAAAAGACATGTAAGGAAAATGTAAAACATTTCTGGTCTCTTAACATCAGCTTTGAAATTTCAGTCTGTCAGGCTTTACTTTTATTCCCATACATATTTATTCCACACACATTTGCCTGTACATTATGCTTAAATGTCCTGTATTATGAAACAAAACTTTTTTTTCTGAGGTGACTATTTGAACAGCACCAATTCAAACTACCACCTTTTTTAGAAACTTGACTAAAATGTCAAAATCTTTCTTTTCATCCATTTCCAGACCCAAACAAGAGACAACTTATTTTTGGTAAACCTTAATATTTATTAAATTATAAATTTTGTAGTCAAAACAAGAAATGTGATCAAGGGAAACCTCAAACTACAAGGACAAGACAGCAAAGCCTATGGAAAAACAATGAAGTGTGCTACAGAGAAGTTTCTGAAACTTACTAGCTGTTTTCTTTACATTTCCATTTCAGAAACTAGTATAAAATGTTGGTTATTCTATTTTAAAATTCCAAATTCACATCTATTCTCACATTAATAAGCTTCCTCCTCGTACTGATACCAAACATTTCATAGGCGCCAAATTTTAGTAATGTTTTTATGTCAATTCATGCAGAAAAATAAGACTCAATGCAAGAACCAGATGAAGACTGTTAATGCACACATAATATACATATACACTGGCCAAAAGAACTGAAGAAATTAAACAACTATAAAATAAACAGCTCAAGAAAACTGGGCTATTCCTAAACAGCTCTCAACTATTAACACCCAAATTCCTTACATTAAATAAATTTTTCAACAGACACATGTTAGACATTTTAATTACAGGGCTATCCTTCCCTACCCCTTCCCACCCCCACAATGCACTACTAGGGATGAGTATAATGCTACATGGGCAGAAATTTACAGAGAACCATTTCAACATTGAGCATGGGCTGAAGACTTTTACTTAAACTTCAGTTACTGTGCACTGTCCATCAGGCCTTCTAGATCTGACATTGACACTCACTGTTCCACCTCCTGCTACTGATCGATCAATCTCAGATCGATCTGATCGATCAGATACTGTCTGGTTTGCATTAGGAACCAAAAGTCTCTGTTGGGTCAAGGAGTGCTGTGCAGCAAGTGCAGATACATCTTCACTATCACTACTGGCATCTGATTCGGTTTCTTCAATGGAGGTATCTGTTGCTGGTACCCTGCCTGAAGGTGGTGATTCATGATCTTCTCCTTCCCCCCTATGACTCCTTTCAGCTATGCTGTCTCCACTGAGTTGTAAATGAGCAAAAGAGTCTTCCAGAGAAGTGCTTGCATCAGGGGATGGTGTTGCAGGGCTTGTTAACTGACCATCTACTGACGTTAGGGGCCTTACAGAAGACGACACTAGAGGCTGAACGGAAGTTCCACTCTGTGCAGATACACTGTCCGCTCCGTCGGCAGAGCTCTCTCTCGCTAGGTTTACAGTGTTAGAGTCACAGTCCAGCCTAAGTCCAGCTACTCCCTTCTTTGGTATATCTATTATATCCCGTTTAATCTTCCTGCGACGTCCATGTTCATTTCTCCTATATTGAACCATATTTTCAAGATCAGCAACATAAAGAAAACCAGCAATTAACATTTCAGTGCTCTTTTTACCTTTGGAAAAAGCATCTTCTAGCTCTCTACTAGTGCGCTCATCATACTGCCACCACCCATTTCTTCCTTCATAATACCATGCATATTCTCCATTTCCTCTACTTGCTGCCTTGAGTTCTTCAGGTGACAACAAGGTTGGCTTATCAAGGAAATCCTCAGGAATTTCTTGTCGACAAAGGGCACATCGTTTTCCAAGCCATGAAGCTCCCTTTACACACAGATAGCAGAAAACATGCTTACAAGGCAGACTGACTGGGTGAACACAGGTTTGCAGACAAATGGCACATTCAGGCACAGTCAGAGAAGGTGCAGTGTTAGAACAGGACTCATTTGTTTTCCTGTTTGTAGGAAGCATGTTTACTGAGTGATCAATTTCACCACAGCCAGCCATCCTAAAAAAAGAAACACAAAATGCACATAATATTAAAATTGTGTTTTAACTTTCTCAATACTTTAATCCAACAATTTACAAAACATTTTTAAAGCACTTGTGGGTAGTACTAAAGCACATACATGTCAAACAAAAAGTAAAACCAAGGTATAGATTTTAAATACACTATTTCTATGCAATCACAAAAGTCATAAAATAGAACTAAATGCAAAGATTTAAAAATACACAATTCCCTTTAGACTAATACTAAAATCAGTCTAGAAAGTACTTGGAGAAACAGAAAATGGCCAAAAGTGAGTCTGCTTACAATTACAGAAAAAAAACAATTTTGCAGCCTTGTAATTTCACAAATATTTAAAAATGTCATATATTAGTATTTTAGGTATTTGACAAGTAGACTGTATGAAATAAACACTGAAGCTGAAATCCTACCAATTCCCTATCTCTGTATAATTAAATAGTGATAAAACCAGTCATTTCTGACATACTTGACCATTCCCTCTCATAAAACACTCTTCTAAAGGACTTTTGTTGGTTGCCTTTTCAAAACTATTTGTTCATTTCACTCTACTTGCTAGATGATGTTATCTATATGCATGGTTTCAATTATTACCTAATATACAAATGATTTATGAATTAGTATCACCAGCTCAGACATCTCCTTTCAACCCTGCACTTGTATTTTTTTAAATTGTTATTTGAGTCAAAGTTTACAGAACACATTCACGTTCCCTACAGCAGCTCATATACGCTTTATCTTATGACACTGACCACAATTTCCCATAATGCAACAGCTCCCCTCCCCCTCCCACTTCTTCCCCATAGATACCTCTTCCCTGTGTCCTTCCCTCCATGCACTCCTGCTCCCTGTGCTGTCTCTCTGTGCATACATAGCCCTTCTATTCTTCCATGATTTTTCTCTCCAAGGAGTGTATCTACCTAATGTAAATGTTCACCTCATATGCTTGTCTTTTGTTTGGCTGGAAGCCATAGGAGTGGGTCCAACTGACGACCTGCAGGGCAGCTAGGGAGAGATGATAACTTAAGAAGAAAGTAAGTGTTACACAGTGAAGCCAATGCCAAAAAAGAAATCTAAAAAGTTGGGTCTTAGGCTCCCTTATTAAGCTCTGGTGGTACAGTGGTTAAGGCATTTGGCTACTAACCAAAAGGTCTGTGGTTCAAACCCACCAGCTGCTCTACATAAGGAAGATGAGGCAATTTACTTCTGTAAAGATTTACAGCTTTGGAAGCCCAATAGGCATTGTTAGTCATAATTGACTTGATGGCAGTAGGTTTGGTTTTTGGTCCACATACAATGCTAAGTATCAATGGACTGGATCTAAAGATGAATGCGATATACACATATTCACTGTAAAATAAGGAAAGACATATTCGAGTAAAAAGGCTGTGAAATGGATGTAAAGATCAGATTGCTGCTTAAAATGAATGGCAATCTCTGTGCCAGTTAATTCTGTCATTTTAAACAAAAAATATTTAGAATTTAATTTAGAATTTAACATTTAAAGGATCTGTGCTCTTTCCCAAGATCAAGCACTCAAAAATGGGTACACAGTTCATTTTAGTGGATGCAGAAAAGGCACTTAATGAAATCCCACACCTTTTCAAGATAAAAACCCTTGGTAAACTATGAATAAAAGGGGTAAGTATTTCTACATGATTATTATGCATTTATAAAAACCGAACAGCTAATATCACACTTAATGTTGAAATCTTTTTCCCTAAGATAGGAAACAAGACAAGGATGCCCACTTTCACCACTGCTATTCAATACTGTACTGGACGTCCTAGCCAGAGCAAACAGACAGAAAAAGGTGTCACAGGCAACCAAACAGGAAAAGAAGAAGTAAACCTATCTCTGTTTTCAACTGATGACATAATCCTATATATTCAAAATTCCAAAGCTACTAGAGTTAATAAACAAATTCAGCAAAGCTGCAGGGTACAACATCAATATGCACAAGTGAATTGTATTTTTATATCCCAGCAATAAACAATCCAAAAAGGATATAAAGAAAACAATTTCCTTTACCACAGGATCTAAAAGAATAAAATACCTAGTAATAAATTTAGCCAAGAAGGTTTACACACTGAAAACTACAAAACATTGCTACAAGAAATTAAAGAAGATCTAAATAAATGGAAAGACATTCATGTTCAATGACTAGAAAATACTGTTAACATGTTGATATTACCCAAAGCAATGTACAGATTCAACATAATCCCTACTAAAATTCCAACAGTTGTTTTCTTGCAAAAATGACAAGGAACAAATGACTCACATTTTCTGATTTTAAAACTTACTACCGAAGCTATAATAATCAAAACAGTATGATACTGGCATAAGGGCAGATACAGAAACCAAAAAACAAACCAAACCCATTGCAAATGAGTTGATTCTAACTCATAGCAACACTTTAGGATAGAAGAGAACCCCAAAAGGGTTCCAAGCCTATGAATCTTTTCAGGATCAAACTGTCACATCTTTTTCTCAGGGAGCAGCTGGAAGGTTTAAGCTACTGACCTTTCCATAAGCAGCCAATCACTGCACCACCAAGACTTTCAATTCTAATGGTCTAAATACCTATGGATTAGGCTATATGTCTATGGGTAGACATACAGACTCGTAAAACTGAAATTGAATGGAAAGCCCAGAAGTAAACCTATACCTCTATGGCCAAATGATTTTTTCAAGGATGCCAAATCCGTTCAGTGGGGAAGAGTCTCTTCAACAAAATGGTACTGGGACGAATGGATTTCCAAATGTAAAACTATGAAGTTGGTTGGACCCCTACCTCACACCATATACAAATATTAACTCTAAACTGATTCTATGACCTCAATATACGAACTCTTGTAAGAAAACATAGGAGTAACTCTACATGACCTTGAATCTGGTAATGGACTCTAAGGATAAGATAGTGGCAGCAAGAATAACAAAAGAAAAATAAAAGATAAATTAAAAAAAAGGAAACAAAACAAAAAAAACAAACTCACTGCTGTCAAGTCAGATCTGACTCACAGCAACCTCTCCTTGGGTTTCCGAGGTGGTATCACTATGGAAGTAGACTGCCCAACCTTCCTTCCGAGAAAAGAAATTAGACTTCATCAAAATTAACTTTTGTGACTCAAAGGACATTATCAAAGAAAGTGAAAAGATGACCCATAGAAAAGGAAAAAAAATACTTGCAAATCATATGACTGATAAAGGTTTAATATCCAGAATCAATAGAGGAACCTTACAATTAAAAAAAAAAAAAAAAAAAAAAATTACTTGCAAAAGACATAAAAGATATTTCTCCAAATGGCCAATAAGCACATGAAAAGATGGTCAAAAAGTCATTAGTTATTAGAGAACTGCAAATCAAAACCACAATGATACCATCTCATACCCACTAGAAGAGTTACCAAAAAAATAGAAAAAAACAAGTCCCTGGATGGATGTGGGCCAACTGGGACCCTCATTTATTGCTGGTGAGAATGTAAAATGGTGTCATTTATATGAAAAAACAGTTTAGTGATTCCTCTAAAACTTAAGCACAGAGTTACTATATAAGATGCAGCAATTCCACGTCTAGGATTTACGCAAAATAACTGAAAACAAAGCCTAAATCAAGTATCTGTACATCAACGTTCACAGCTGCATTATTCACTACAGCCAAAAGGTAGAAACGAGCCAAGTATCCATCACCAGATAAATCAATAAAGTGTATCTACACAATGAAATATTGTTGTTGTTATGTGCCATCGAGTCGGACCTGACTCATAGCGACCCCTCCTTGGGTTTCCGAGGCAGTATCACTACAGAAGTAGATTGCCCCATCTTCCTTCTGAGGAGTGGCTAGTGGGTTTGAACTGCCAGCCTTCTGGTTAGCAATCAAGTGCCTTAGCCACTATGCTAAACAATGAAATGTTATTCAGCTCTAAAAAGAAATGAATTACTGATACATGTAATGACAGGGATGAACCTTTAAAATCTTACACTAACTGAAATAAACCAGAGATAAAAGGACAAAAACTGTATGATTCTACTTACATGAAATTTCTAGAATAGGCAAATATATAGAGACAGGAAGTAGATTAGAGGTTAACAGGGTCTGGAGGGGAGGAAGAAATGAGTTATTGCTTAATGGCTATAGAGTTTCTGTAGGGGTGATAAAGTTTTAGAAATAGGTAGTAGTGGTATGGCTACACAATATTGTCAATGTAATTAATGCTACCAAATTGTACACGTAAATATGGTTAAAATGACAAACATATATTTTACTACAATTAACTTGGAAAAACAAATCTTAGTATTATTCCAAAAATGGCAAAAGAAAGAGTATTTCGATTGCTATTTGGCAAAAGACTCAGAATAGTTTTATCAGCCTCAGGTAATGGTAACAGGCCATGTATATTACTTTCAATTCCTCAAAAAACTATAACCAGCCACTTAATGTCCTGCTAAGGAGTCCCTGGATGGAGCGAACAGTTAAGTGGTCAACGACTAGCCAAATGGCTGCCAGTTCCAATGCACCCAGAGGCATCTTGAAAAACAGGCTTGGTGATATGCTTCCAAAAGGTCACAGCCTCAAATACCCTATGGAGCAGTTCTATTCTGCACCACGGGATTAGCGTGATTGGCAATATACTCAACAGCAATTAACAACAACAATGTCCCTATAAGAGGTTTTTTAAAAAAAAAAAAAAACTCACACATGTATCATGATTCTGGGAACTTGTTTTCTCATCAATAAACTGGCAATAATACATATTTTGACTTTAAATTACTGTGAAGCCATAATAACGTATAAATTAAAGCATAACATTGTATGCTTTAAAGTCTTCTCTACAATATCTAATGCCTGGTGATCATACAGAATACAAAAGATACTTACTTGTTAAATGAATTTAACTCTTCATTTTACTTTTTTGGGCAAAGGCTATGTACAGGTCAATCTTGGAAAAGAATACAACTCTGAGAATAGTTTTAAGGGGCTGGTG